CAGCCGCATCTACTGTACTTGAAAGAAAGAGCGACCCTCAAAAATACAGTTTATGTACAGCTACTCAACATTTAAAAGGTTTAGAGTAAGTATCAGCAGAAAAGTCTGAGAACATCCAGATTTTCAGTTTTACATTTAGTAACACCAACCACCAGCAAAACGGTCATCATCCACCCAGCAGGGCCAGACCTAGGAGGGCCTATTCTGTTTCCCCTTGGCATGCCATACCTGGCAGGGCTGTGAAATGAATTAAAAATTTGAGAAGCATGGAAGACTTCACACAGAACACTTATTTAAAAGCCCATCCCATTCACCGGCTCTCCCTATTTTGCCTTAAATCACGACTTTTTTTTTCACCCCATTGATTTCGAAATGTTTTAATTTTAATTGCATCTTAACCACACACTTGGATTTAATTCTATTCCAACCTGTGCGATTGGATTGTAACGTAAGCTGTTCCAAATTGTCCTGTCAGCCGCTTTGGCGACCCATGTTGAAGGGAAAGGACTCTAAGAAGGCCATGCAGCTCCTGGCCAGGGTAAAGTTTGAAAGGGTCAGAGCACAGCAGGCCTCCTGTTTTTGTTTGTTTGCTTGCTTGTTTGCCTGTTTCCCCTAAAATCAGAACTGGGCAAGAACCCAAGCAGGGGCGGAACCTTTCTGCGCGTCTTCAGATCCCCGGGGGGACGAGGTCCGTCCCGGACCGGTTCCCCCATAGCGTCGCCCTTCGGACTAGGCCGCGCTCTCCGCCCGTGGCGCTCTCGTCGCCTACCGACGCCGGGATGCGGGTGCTGCGGAAAGGGCTGAGCTTGCTGGGGCGGCCGGGGGTCCTCCGCGGGCCCCACCAGCCCCTCTATCAGCAAGGGCAGAGCCCTTCGCCGCGGACCCGCGAGTACTTCTATTATGTCGACCACCAGGGACAGGTAATGAGGCGCGGGGCGGGGAGCCCCCCAGGATGATCGGTGGGGCTGCTGCCCCACGAGAGTTTTCCTCACCCACCCATCCACCCCGGTCCGGTCCGCCAGGGCATGGCGATGCAGTGTGTGTGTGTGTTGTGT